CCCGCTCCCCCCGCTCCGGGGCCGGCCGGGGGTTCCTCGGGCGGCGTGGCCTGCGAGGACCAGTTCGACTGCAAGGAGCTGGAGTCGCTCTTCCAGAACTACAACCTGAAGCTGGAGCAGACGTCGACCCTCAAGGCGCTGGCCGTGCTCATCGTCCTCACCGGCAGCCTGGCGCTGCTGGAGCTCCTGGCCGGGCCGCGCCGCCTCACCATCGCCAAGGGCTCGCACCCGGTGCACGGCGTCATCTTCCTCTCCCTCTTCATCCTCACCAACGTCAAGTACCTGCAGGTCACCCAGCTCCAGCAGATCGTCAAGCTCACCCTGCTCTTCGCCTTCACCTTCGCCTTCCTCTGCTGCCCCTTCTCGCTCGGCGCCGACGGGCCCCAGACCCCCGCCGCCCCCGAGCAGGGACTCTGGCAGCTCATGCTCGTCACCTTCGTCTCCTACGCCCTCCTGCCCGTCCGCACCCTCCTGGCCATCCTCTTCGGCTGCGTCGTCGCCCTCTCCCACCTCGTCGTCGCCGCCACCTCCGTCAGGGCCAAGAGGCAGCCCCTCTGGAGGACGGTGAGTGGGAACGCCGCCACCCCCCCCTCCAATGCTCCCTCTAAGCTGTGGAGCCCTGTGAGCAAACATTCTACTCTGTGAGCTCCTGGCATTAAAGTTGTGAGCCGAGCGATTTGGCAGGCGCAGGCGCATCAGTTAGTTTGCTCTGGAGGCATTCCTTCCTGAGCAAAGGCAAAAATGGGTGAGCTGGAGGCTAAAAAACTGTGAGCTAGCTCACACTAACTCAGCTTAGAGGGAACGGTGGCCCCCTCCCAAGCCAGACCCCAAGGAGGAGAGCAGGAGGCCCCAGCCCCCTCTCCAATGTTCCCTCTAAGCTGTGGAGTCTTGTGAGCAAACATTCTACTCTGTGAGCTCCTGGCATTAAAGTTGTGAGCGAGCGATTGGGCTGCTGCATCAGTTAGTTTGCTCTGGAGGCATTCCTTCCTGAGCGAAGGCAAAAATGGGTGAGCCAGAGGCTAAAAAAAACTGTGAGCTGGCTCACACTCACTCAGCTTAGAGGGAACAGTGCCCCCCTCCCAAGCCCGACCCCAAGGAGGAGAGCGGGAGGCCCCAGACCCCTCTCCAATGTTCCCTCTAAGCTGTGGAGTCTTGTGAGCAAAAATTCTACTTCGTGAGCTACTGGCATTAAAGTTGTGAGCCAGCGATTTGGCTACTGTATATACTAGTTTGTTCTGGAGCCATCCTTCCTGAGTTAAGACAAAAATGTGTGAGCCGGAGTGTAAAAAACTGTGAGCTAGCTCACACTAACTCAGCTTAGAGGGAACACTGCCCCTCTCCCCCAAGAAAAGTCTACTTGCTTACAATGTTTCTTACCCAAATCAACAGATTGGGTCGAGGAGTCAGGAAGTTATGATTGAGATGGCCATTGACACCTGTGGGTTTCTTCTCAAGCTCCCCCCCCCCAACAGACTGATCTGGTCACCCCCAGCAGTGGTTGCCGACTTTTTATTTGTTGGGTGTAGCGGGCTTAGGAGCGCGGACTCTCTCCTCTGCGTGCAGCTGCTGGTGCGACCTTGGGTCAGTCACAAGTTCTCTCGGAGCTGTTCTCTGGAGGGCAGTTCTCAGGAGAGCTCTCGCAGCCCCACCTGCTTCACAGGGTGTCTGTTGTGGGGAGGGGGAGAGAAAGGAGTTTGTAAGCCGCTCTGAGACTCCTTCGGGTAGTGAAGGGCGGGGTATAAATACAACCTCTCTCTTCTTCTCTCTAAATGCCCCCTGACTTAAAAAAATCCTGCCTATGCAACTGGGGTTACTTTGCAGGAGCTTTCAATCCCACAGCTGGGGGGGGGGATTTGCGGTGCGGATTCTAGCGGTTGTGTGGCTACCAGGGGACGGGATTGGTGTGGTCGAGCTCCTCTGTCATACTGAAGCATTGAACCTCGATGCGGGCAAATCCTTTTGAAGCTTGCTGCGGGCACATCCTTTCCTGGAAGTAAACCCCATTAGGTAGACCTGAGATGTGATTCTGAGTAGAGCCGCTTAGTTGTCCTCTGCAGTGTTTTGTGAAGGGTCCCGATGCGAGACTTTAGGGCAGGATGCACAAAGCAAACTTCAAAGCGTGGCTTAGAATGCCTGGTGGGGCAGGGAGTGGGTTCGGTGGAGACAGCATGGTGGCGTTTAATGGGTTCGCCCCGGTAGGCAAAACTGTTTTGTAACTATCCGCTGATGGTCTGTCAGATGCTTTGTGGCTGGTTTGTTTTAAAAACGACTGTTTGTGATGACTAAGGGTGCATGCGGAGTAACACGCAACTATCATTATCTCCATCAACCCCCCCCCCCAGATCACAAAGTTTGAATAATGCAACAGACTTAGAGTCACAGTGCAGACTGACTAGTGAAGGAGAAAAGCCTCTCTCTCTCTCTCTCTCTTTCTCCTCCCTCCCCCCATGAGATTATTTGCAAATCCCTACACCTGAAATGTGTTCCTTAGCAAGGTAAACCGTAGTGTCCTAAAGTCAAGGTCAGGTTATATATATATTTCAGCCATGCAAACCAACCTTCTGTCCACAGGTATGAGAATCCTAGGAGAATTCGCCCTTAACTTCATAACTGGACGGATGCTTTCTCCAGCCCTTTTTGACCTCCGGTTCCTGAACCCCAAGGGGAAATCCCCCCCTACCCAGTCTCCTCTTCACAGCTTTCCTAACCCACCTTTCCCTGTAGCACCAGCTTCTTTTCCACCGCTGTCTCTGTACACAGTAGTCAGTATGTCATTGAGCTTCCAAACCATCTTTCCTCTCCGAATTAATCCTGTGGAAGCGCTTCTCTGCAGCATCTTTAGGAATGTGTTACTGCAAATTCCCCTCCTCCTCCCCCAGCGCACAGTGTCTATTTATAGCCCTGCAGGGCTTCCTCCAGTGCCCATAGCCTTCCGGGCTTGTACGGAGGGATAAGTAAGGGAATCCACAAGGTTTGCATCCTCGAGAAAGGACTCTATTCTGGGATTGTAGTCTTGTGAATTTGAGTTGGTCGCCAACCTAGAAACCAAGTGAAGTGGGGCTTACTTGTTCTGTGCGTAAGGTTTGGGTTTTATTTTTTTTTAAAAAAATATTTGAAAGGAAATGCTGTTGTGTTTTGGGAGAAATCGACTTCATGACAGAGACAAATAAGACGAGGGGGAAACAAACAGTTGCTTCTGCGTCTGCTTTCCAGTGTTGTTTTCCCTGGCAGCGCAAAGATGTGTCGTGACACACAAACACATAGACTCTCAGCCCTAGCCATGAACACAAGCTACAGGCGTAGGCACGAAGTCACGCCTGCTCATTCTTAGGTCTGCAGCCCCCTCTGGATTGCCAAACATGGGTTCACCTACCAGGCATACACAGTAGCTGCAGAGAGACCGAAAGGGGGAGAGACAGCTAGGCAAGAGAGGTGGTTTTGCAGGGACACGCAGGATTATTCTTGGCTCACTGCTGCTCAGCCGGTGGACAAAATAAATTGTGTGTGTTTTAGGAGGCAGAAAGAGAGATTATCTGGGTAAATCACAAAGCTCGGCTTCCTGGCAGTCTATTTTTAAGTACATGCTTTAGTGGTTCAGTGAGAAAGAGAGAATATGTGACCCGCTGAAATTTAAAGCGTGGCGAAGGTATGTGTGCCAAAACCCACTTTGAATGGCCAGGTTTCAGGAAGGCTATGCTGTGAAATCTACGCACTGAAGAAATCCCCCAATGTTTCATTTCTAACAGTGTGAGCAGTCCACATGCTTAATATGGTACGAGAGTATTGCCTTTAGCTGCACCTGCCTCCCCCCCCAATTTATAAAGAAACAAAGTTTCCCTACAGTTTCTGTGGATATATATCATGTCTCACTTAAGGTTAAAAGTGCCATTTTGACAAACAGCCTTTCCCCCAACCGTTTTTGGCCCATGCATTGGCCTCTCTTCTGGTTATTCAGGGGTAAAATGCAATTTCCTTAAAATAGATTTAGTTGGCAATTAAATCCCATTGACTTCGATGGGATCGGAGCTGCCTGGTTGTACACAGAATTGCAGCCTCAGGCTTGACGTCAAGCCCCAACAGACTTGCATGCGAGTAAATCCTAGGTAAACCAGTGTGACTTTCTTCCGAGTAAAGAAAGTGCTTACTAGATGGTGCTTTGTAGATAAATATTCTGCTTCCCCACAAACTGAATCCCACTCGCCCCCTGGGGATGTTGATGTTCCTCCTTGGAAAGATGGCTAGCTGGCTAGGTAACTTGAAATGTAGGTTGCTCTTGTACATACCTTATAGTAGAACAAAAGTGTGATAAGGTGGATTCTGACAAATACAAATGCCAGGTGAATTCCACGCTGCCCTTCAATCCACTGTGACAGTCTTCCCAATTCTGTGTTCACTTACCATTTTTGCTATATGCAGGATTGCAGTCTCATGTGCTAGCTGGCTTAATAATCAAAGCAAATGCCACCTTTGTGTAGAATAACCCGTTTGACGAAAGGTTTGAATAATACAGGATCAGTAGCATCTGTTATATAATTCTCCTTTCCCAGAGCTATAAGTGAGAATTGTGTGTATGTCTCTTTGTGTGGGGGAATGGAACAGAAATTTGAAGTATCTTAAAAATAATAATAATAATAATAACAATAATAATTGGAATATTTTGCTTACGAGTAAGCAAATCAAAGAGGCATCCATGGAGGTATTTAATGGAGCTGTGCTTTATCTGTGTTAGCACCCAAAACAGGGCAGAAACATTCAAATACAATCTCCGATGCAGTAGAAAATTGCATGTGATGCATGTATTAAGTGAAGCTACAATGAGAAAAATGAAACGACCAGTGCTGCCTCCAGGATGTTGTGGTCCTTGAACAAGGCACTCTTATGGACTCTTAAGTGGTGTGCAAATTGAAGATTCTCTCGTGCCACCTCTGACCTTTGGGGGCTCTGGGAATGGCACCCTTGGTGAAATGGGACCTTGGCTGGTCTTGTGGCCCCAGGAAATGCCCAGTATGGCCATGCTCTGGAGCTGGGCCCAGGTGTGACTGTACAAGCAGGTTGGAGATGTAAGGCTAGACCAGCCTCATTCATTGGCAGTACTGATTGAGAAGTATGGTTGTGAAGGCGACTCATATATTTATAGGGAGGATCTTTGAATAGCACCAGCAGGAAAGTGTGTGAAAACTAGAGAGCGAAGAGAGGTGGCTGGAGTGGATTGATGAATTGCGCCAAGGATGTGTGTGTTTGTGTGGTTCAGATTTTTTGTTTGGTGGCATTTAGGGGATGTCTGCAGACGAGGGAGGACAGATCAGTGAATTAGCTGTGGGGAAAGTATGTTCTACAAAAAGAACAGTTTGGAATGCTTTGGAGGCCCTCAGTTCTTCGGGTTCTAGGACTTCAAGGATGGGCCAGACAGATGAGTGGCTTGCCAGGATATTGCGTCATGAAAAACAGGAAGTCAGCATTCTTCTTCTTCTTCTTCTTCTTCTTCTTCTTCTTCTTCTTCTTCTTCTTCTTCTTCTTCTTCTTCTTCTTCTTCTTCTTCTTCTTCTTCTTCTTCTTCTTCTTCT